AAAAAAAAAAAAAAAAAAAGAAGAAGAAGAAGAAGAATTCCCACGCAGATGAGGCCCATGCTCAGTGGGTAGAGCGCTGGCCACATACACCGAGGCTGGTGGGTTTAAACCTGGCCCAGGCCAGCTAAAACAATGACAACTGCAACAACAACAACAAAAATAGCTGGATGTTGTGATGGGTGCCTGTAGTCCCAGTTACCTGGGAGGCTGAGACAAGAGAATTGCTTAAGACCAAGATTTTAAGATTGCTGTGAGCTGTGACACTAAGCACTCTACCCAGGGCGACAGCTTGAGACTGTCTCACAAAAAAAAAAAAAAAAAAAAAGAATTCCCACACGCAGAATCCCTCCTGTAGCCTCGATTCTTCCAGTCCCCTTTCCTTCCACAAATAATTACCCAGCGCGATTGCATGACAGGCACCAGTGGGGAACAGATATCTAGGCACAAAATTGATGGAGCTGAGGGTGAGTGGGTCCCTATTCAAGCTCCTTTATCAGAGTAGTGTTTGCTGCAGCCCCAGGTCATGAACTCACAGCATGATGCTCTCCTATTCCAGACTTCTGTGTAATAGTGTGAGTGATTTTTCTCTTCCCTACTGGCAGAGTGGCCTTGGTTTACAATGACACCCCAAACTCTCCAAATTGTACTTGACTCACAGCATGCTAGGTAAATGGTGGTTAAATTGATAAACAAAGCAATAGGGTAAAGACTTGCGCATTCATCCTCCTTATAGACACAGGTACATCTTCAAATTATCGCACAAATACGTTTACCCTTGCAAACTTTGCTGGCAGCCCCAATAAGGCATTCAAGGGGACCCCAGTTACTCTGAAGATCAAGGTGGACTTTCTGGGGGAGGGGAGACTTAAGGATAAATATTAGGTGGGGTACAGGGAGGGAAAGAATGGGTAGAGAAAGGCCCTGTCTCTATAGAATGGAAGTGGGGGTGCTTGGCGTCCATAGCACAGTGGTTACAGTGCCAGCCACATACACTGAGTCTGGAGGGTTTGAACCTGGACTGGGCCAGCTAAATAACAATGACAACTGCAACAACAACAAAAAATAGCTGGGCATTGTGGTGGACAACTGTAGTCCCAGCTACTCGGGAGGCTGAGGCAAGAGAATGGCTTTGGCCCAAGAGTTTGAGGTTGCTGTGAGCTGTGACGCCACAGCACTCTACTGAGGGTGATGTAGTAAGACGCTGTGTCAAAAAAGAAAGAAAGAAAGGAAGGAAGGAAAGAAAAAAGAATGGAGGTGGGGGATTGGGGTTGATGAGGCTAGCCAGATCCTGCAGGGTAAGGAAGGGCAGGCCTTTTGGTACAGAGGTAAGAAGGGGCAGGTGCCAGTTGGTGCAGCCCCTGCAGGTGAAAAGGAGTGGTTCCTAGGACTAGCTGGTAGGAGGAGGATACTGAGGAGAAAAGAGGATGAGGAATCATAGATATGTCCTTTCTGATGGGCCTGGTGGAAGACCTTGCTTTGGGGAATGAGTTGTGTGGCCACCAGATCCCTCCCCTAGGAACCTTAACTCAAGTTCTGCTGTAGGTCTCAAACTTCCTTAGGCTGACAAAGAAGTGGCTTGTTAGAAGAGCTTAGCAATGCTCTTCTCTTTCTCTCTTTTTTTGTTTTTCTGAGTCAGAGTCTCACTCTGTTGCCCTGGGTAGAGTGCTGTGGCATCATAGCTCACAGCAACCTCAAACTCCAGGGTTCAAGCTATCTTCCTGCCTCAGCCTCCTGAGTAACTGGAACTACAGGTGCCTGCCACAATGCCTGGGCAGTTTTTCTATTCTTGATGAAGATGGGGCTTCACTCTTGCTCAGGCTGGTCTTGAATTCCTGAGCTCAAGGGATCTACCTACCTTGGCCTCCCAGAGTGCTAGGATTACAGGCTTAAACTACTGTGCCCTGCATAACAATGTTCTTCCCAGTTCCCCTTCCTACCTACCATCTTCTCTTGATTCTGCCATAGCCCCAGGCCTGGGAAAAAAGGACAAGATGATGGGGATTTAGAGGCACCAAGGACCACTGCCCTACAACGACCTCCTCTGAGGCCTGGGACAACCCTCCTTCTTTTTCCACTTTCTCTGCCACCTGAATGGTTTTAAGGTAAAACTTAGGGAATATCTTTTAGTCAATGGCTCACATTTTCATAAAAATAAGAAAAAGGCAAATGACTTATGAGTACAATTGACACAGGATCTTGTTTTCTTTTTCTTTTTTTTTTTTTTTGAGGCAGAGCCTCAAGCTATTACCCTGAATAGAGTGTTGTGACATCACAGCTCACAGCAATCTCCATCTCCTGGGCTCAAGCGATTCTCCTGCCTCCGCCTCCCAAGTAGCTGGGACTACAGGTGCCTGCCACAACACTTGGCTATTTTTTGGTTGCAGCCATCATTGTTGTTTGGCGGGCCTGGGCTGGATTCGAACCTACCAGCTCAGGTATATATGGCTGGCACCGGAGCTGCTTGAGCCACAGGCGCTAAGCCTTGACAAAGGATCTTAATGGGAAATTAACAGAAATATGGAAATGATCAATAAAACTGTGGAAGGAGGCTCTGTGAGGTGGTTCATGCCTGTCTGCAATTCTAGCACTCTGGGAGGCCAAGGCAGAGGATTGCTTGAGATCAGGAGTTCGAAACCAGCCTGAGCAAGAGCAAGACCCCAATTCTACTAAAAGTAGAATAATTAGCCAGGCATGGTGGTGCCTGTAGTCCCAGCTACTTGGAAGGCTGAGGCAGGAGAATTGCTGGAGCCCAAGAATTTGAGGTTGCTGTCAGCTATAATGATGCCACTACACTCTAACCTGGGTGTCAGAGGGAGACTCTCAAAAACAAAACAAAAAACTGTGGAATGTGACAGAGCTGTGTGAACTGGCTGGAAAGGATTAGGAGATACAGTCCAGTGAAAATACCAAGTTGCAGATAAATATATTCAGTAAGATAGTATTTTTGTCCAAAAGGGTGGATGTCTGGATAGTAGTTATAGATGTAGCTGTGCTCCCTTAGCATGGACAGGCTCTTGGGTCAATCCCAAACTGTTCACTCTGTCTTCTTCAAAGGGAGGGAGTGGAGAGGGAGGCAGAAGGACTCTCTCTCCCTAATGAAGTAACATAACAAAAAGGAGGTATGTGTGTGAAAGCATGAGTGGATTTTAGTTTATTTCTTGTTTTGTTTTGTTTTGTGTGCAGTTTTTGGCCGGGGCTGGGCTTGAACCCTCCACCTCTGGAATATGGGGCCGGTGCCCCACTCCTTTGAGCCACAGGCGCCAAGGAGACCTCATTTCTATAAAAAAAAAAAAATAGCCGGATGTTGTGATAGGTGCCTGTAGTCCCAGCTACTTGGGAGGCTGAGGCAAGAGAATCGCTTAAACCCAAGAGTTTGAGGTTGCTGTGAGCTGTGACGCCACAGCACTCTACCAAGGGTGACAAAGTGAGACTCTGTCTTAAAAACATAAATAAATAAAAAGCTTCCTCTGATGCAGGTAGTGTATGTGAACAGCTCTCCCACCTCTCCTTCCTGACTGCCTGGCGGGCTCTCAGAGGTTAATGTAATTGAGGAAGTGTGTATAGGTGGGGCCAGGACACTCCAGCTCTCCTACCCTCTGGTAGGAAGGTGAGGCGAATCTGGGAAATTTGGCACCTGCCTTTGTATCAGGAAGAGCCCTTATTTGTCAGTTTGTTTTGCTGTGCTTTGTTTTGATCTAGAGTGTGTTTTTTTTTTTTTTTTTGAGACAGAGTCTCACTTTATCACCCTTAGCAGAGTGCCGTGGCAGCACAACTCACAGCAACCTCCAGCTCTTGGGCTAAGGCAATTCTCTTGCCTCAGCCTCTCGAGTTGCAGGGACTACAGGCGCCAGCCACAACGCCCGCCCAGCTATTTTTGTTGCAGTTGCCACTGCTGTTTTAGCTGGCTGGGGCCGGGTTCAAACCCATCACCCTCGGTATATGGGGCCAGTGCCCTACCCACTGAGCCACAGGTAACGCCCATAGAGTGTGTTTAACTGAGATCGGTCAGGGAGATTTCAAAGGAGGATCTCCTAGGACTCCCCACAGCCTTCCCCTAACAGGAACCCATCTCCTTCCCCAGGTCCTGAGCCATTGCCTGCTGGTCTGGAAACTCCCAGACAGGGGCATTGTTACCACCTTGTCTGAAGCTTCCCCGCTCAGTTTCTCTCCCTTTCATGCTCTCTCTTCCCTTATCAAACTTTACAGAGAGATCCTGGGGATGTGTACCTCCCACACTGCCCACTCCCAACCCCAGCACCTTCCCTGACAGAGAGGACTCAGGTACACAAGCTGCCACCCACTCAGACTTTATTCAAAGACCAGGAGGTGTGGTGCAGAGAG